ATAAAAAAAAAAAAAAAAACGAGCTGAAAATAAACCATAGGGTTTGCGTTAGAACCAAAAATTCATGGAAAGACGAGATGTGACTACTGCTAGTTGATACATATTACATATTGTGGGGGCAATATTACGGTATCATGCCTTCGGGTGTTTTAACTGTTGAAGCATCCATCTTATTAAACTACATGTGGATCCAATAGTTAAAGCAGCCGACGAGATGGTACCGTAACGGGAGCGCAGCATTTCTCCAGATTTCGTATCATGTTTTTGTCTTTTTTTTTTTTGTAATTATTTTTTTCTGACTTTTTTAAATTATTATTATTGTTATTTTTTTTATTGATTTGATCTACTTTTGCTTTATTATTATGAGTATGGCAGTGAACAAATATGGCTGGAGATCAGTTTTGCAGGTTGCTCATTTCAAGTTTTTGTAGACAGATTGTGCTACAAATTTTAGATCATGTTCAGAAATTGTTGTCTCAGTTGTGGTATATATACAGTGTTTCTTGATTTGGGATTCTGATTTTTATAAAATTTGCTTAGATGCCCTTACCGCTTATTTGTTTTACAGCCAATAATCCAGATATATACCATTAATGAAACTAAAGAAAAAATAATTCCACACACATATTTATTTCCACAAGAAAAATTAGACTAAAAAAAAAAAAGATACACAAGTTATGTAGAAGCACTACATTACCGTTCATAGGGTTTACACATTATTGTGCGGTTGCAAACGGCCAGTCGAGCTCTCGAAAATCGACCATCAAAAGGCGCCATCGCAATTCGTCGCTTGCCCGACTCTCTTTTGTCCACAGCACTCGCTAACAAGTCATTACAAACGAGCACCCCTTTCGATACGCACACACATTTAGTCTAATAAAAACGGGCGTTACTATATCATCCCTAAAATCAATCACAAACATCGTACACGATCAAACCTAAATTAATAATCGCCCGACTCGCCACTTCAATATTTCAAGTCTCCACCAAAGTACCTAAAACAACCGTCATTCGAGACATTCTCACGGGCCATGTTCACACCACGATCGGAACCCACGTGAAACGGTGGGCCCATTCTTTTCTTACCACCACCCTTCACAAAACAATCCCCCACACAATCCCACGACGAAGCGACATTATTATTACTTTCCCAAGAATCGACCTTTAGTAGTTCTTCATCCTCTTGGCGGGCTTTTCCCGCCATTTTCCCGAAAGCTTCGATTAGGGCCGCGTCCCGGTCCAAGATCCAAGCTTTCTCGCGGGCCCAAATCCGTTGCTCCCTCTCGACCCTCTCGGCATCTTGTTTCCTCCATTGCTCCTCCCTCAAGTTACGTTCTTTTTCATTCTCGTCGATCGTACGCATCATTTTCTCCATCCACGCCTCTTGCTTTTCTGCCATTTTCTTCATTTGGGCCTCGATCGAGTCTTTTATCTTTGCCTTCAAGCTTCTCATCATCGTAATCTTTTTCGACCTCTTGATATTGTTAGAGGCACCCGTTAATAGAAAACCGGGCTCCATGCTTTCGTCTTCCGACGTGATTATCGTGTCGAAATCGGAAGAATTATTCGAGTACGATTCGTTCGGGAAAGAGTTTGTGTTTTCGGGGAAACTAATGTAAGGGAAATTCGGGCCCGCGAAAGTGGTTTGATCCGAAACCGAAGCAGATGAGTTATTGTTATTATTGTTGTTGTTGTTGTTGTTGTTCGGCTGGTCGCCGTAAAGGGCCTCGAGTTGCCGGAAAAACCGGTAGTGTTTGCCGTCCGGCCGGCCGGTTTTGCCGCCTTTCGTCTTTTTGTAGTACTTGTATAGGTTCTCAAATTTCTCCCTGCATTTTTTTCCTGTCCTTTGGTACCCATATTCATCATACATTATCCTTTACAAAAAATTTAAAAAGGAGAAAAAAAATCAGTTAATTTAAATATAAATAAAATCAGCAATGAAGGGAAATAAGTTGTAATCTTGTAATCTAAGCCCTAGATTTGTTTTGTTTTTAACTTTTGAGATTTTTTTTTTTTTATATAATTATTTTGTAGTTAAAAAAAAAAATTAAAAACATCAACAATCAATTCATCATATGATAATGTAATGATATTTTTGTTAGGGTAGATAGACAAGATCCATTTTGTAGTATTACTTTTCAGTTTGGCTGCTGCTGCTGCTATACTCATGTCTTTTCATGTATATAATAATAATTAAAGAGAGATGCTACAGTTCCGTCGAGATTTGTAACCGTTAGATCATCATGTAACCGTTGTAGATAGTTGATCTAACGGTTACAAACCCCGACGGAATGGTTCCGGGACCGTATTATCGGATCTTTGAAATTATAAACAAATAAAACGTTGAATTGAAATTAATAAAAACAAAATGGATTATAAATGTTGGTCTCAGAACAACACAACTGGTTTTTTGCTTAGTTTCAAGAAGTGATTGTGAGTTTACATTATAATAGAAAATTGAAGAGATTCTGAGATTCTTAATAAATGGACTTATTAATTAATTAGTTCAGTTTATTTTTTTTTGGTACAAAGAAGGAGGCGAAAGCCTAAGACCATCAAGTAGGTACGGACCGTGGATAGGCCACGCCAATAAGGTCATGTTTATTTTTAAATGAAGAAAGATGAACTTTTGATAAGATGGAACAAGATCATGATGACCTAAGCACTTGGGTCAGCAACACCAATTGAATCTTATTCCCCACATCCCAAGAATTACTTTGGATCCAAAAAATAAATAAATAAATAAAATTTGAGTACAGAATCTTATGTTTCAATTAAAAATTGCTTGTGAAATATAAAAATATTGGAATATAGGAAAATATTTTTCGGATGATTTTTGTTTTTTCTTATATTTTCTAGTAAGGTAGAGAAAATTTCACTCCCTCATTGAGTATTAAGTGTCATTTTAGGTAGAATTTTTTACTTTTTAATATTTATTATGTTAGATTTTATTTTTATTTTTTTTTAGAGAAAGTATAAGAAACATAGAAATTCAATTATTAGAAAAATAAGGTATCCATATATAATTTAGAAAAATAAGGTATCCATATATAATTTCAGTTATTTGTTATATTAGAATTTTTTTTAAGAAAGTATAAGAGACATATAAAATAATTACTAGAAAAATAAGGCCTCCATATATAATATAAGGAGATTTGAGAGAAATTGGAAAAATTTCTTGATTTTTTGCTCACTCAATTGGATTTTAAATTAACTTCACAAGCTTAAAATAAAAAAATTCAATTTTTTTTATTCAGTTATAATAACAAAACCTAAGGCAATAATGTTTGTGAGCTCACCAATTAGGTCAAACTAACTCTAAAAATACAAAAAATAAATAAATAATAACAATAAATAAATAAATAAATAAAACAAACCTACCTTGAGACCTCATCCCACAAAGGTCCCTTCTGATTGGCCTCCTTAAACCTACCGTCCATCCTCGACCGTACCTCCAGCA